CCAAAAAATCTACTTAATTTTGTTCAAAAAAAAAAGAAGGGCAAAAAGTGGGTTTTTTACTGAGCGAAAAAAAAGAACCCTACTTTTCTGCATATTCGTGTTGCTAGTTTTCTTTTTTATTTCTTTGAAAATGGTTAAAGTATTCACAAGGAAACTGTTTTTTTTTCTGTAAACTGTGGAGTTTGTTTTTTGTTTGTTTATTTTCAAAAAGTTTATTGGCATACTGAAATTCAGCATTTATTTCTGTTGCATATAAAAGGATATTCAGTGAATCAGTTTCGAGCAAAGAAACCGTTACCTGTTTTAACAAAAGTCTAATCTTCCTTGTGCTTTACCAATATCCGCGTTGATTGAAATACTGTTAAGCTTTTAGTTGATCATTTCATTAGTATTATATATTTGTCAACACTATGTTAAAATTTTTATTTCTTTTATTAGTATATTAATCAGAAAAAAAAGCTCATTATTTTATTTTCTGTTCAAATTGTCGTATCTTATTCAGCATTAATTGCAGGTAATTAGTCTGCTGTTGTCATTGATAATCAAATTTTTTTATTGAAAAGGATTGATTCATGAACAAAAAAAAAAACCAAAATGTATAAGAAAATTAGTTGCTTAAGTTTTGATAAATATTTAAACGTATGCAGAAAACATCTGATCAAAAAACGTTGTTTTGGGTTGTTTGGTTATTACTGCACTTTTGCATATTTATCCAACATATTCATATTCTTTATTCGCTTTCTTTTTTCTCCTCTTTTCCTTATTGAATTAATAACATTTATTAAGCAAAAAAAAAAAATAATAATAATAATTTATTTTTATAAGAAATTTAATTAAAAAGGAAAAGAAAAAAATATGAAGGACATCAGAAATTTAAAATTTATACTTTGTTTTTGAGGAACAGAACTGAATAAACAACATGGAGAATAGCTAAAAAATTTTTGAATATTTCAATTAAATATCAACAAAGCAAAAAAAAGAGAAAAAAATTTTGACAATTTTATCACATTTAATTTTTCTGTTCAAATGTGTGAACAATTCTGTTAATCATCAATTTTTTGTTTCCAATTTTTTTTTTGTTGTTGGTATTTATTCCAGTAAAAATACGAGAGGGGGGAAACAAATGACAACTTATCCACCGGTGGACACACTACAAAAACGTTATTCAACAGTAATGTCTTTTTTTTTTGTCTTTTTGTTCTTTGTTATCAGAAAATTTTCCACAACAAAAAAGATTTGTTTTTGTTAACTTAAAATAAAGGAAAAATTTTTGTTTCTTTTCCTTTATCACATCGATTAAACCATTTGTTGTATATTCAACTACTATTTTTGTGGTGGCCAAATATGAGGTTTATCTTAGCCTCAATTTCTATTTAAATTTGCTTTTTTTTTTTTTTTCCTTGTCATTACCATTTTAATATGTATCAAAACACTGTAACTGTGTTATGTTTTGAAGCCAGTCAGATGGTTTGTGCCAGAAACCGGATACTCCTGCAACTTTTAGTCTAACAAAATGATAGCAATTGTTCTGTTGATTGATGCAAAAAAAAAAAAA